AAGTAATGAGTTATGCGCGTTTAAGTGATTTTCGGGAGGGGACCTTGTATGGGAGCTATGACCAATTATGGACCGATCGGAAAAAAATTTCTCAGTAATATTTCTGTATAGATAGGCAATACTTGTACCAAATCTTATATGGATGTCTTAATTAAGTAATGAGTTATGCGCGTTTAAGTGATTTTCGGGAGGGGACCTTGTATGGGAGCTATGACCAATTATGGACCGATCGGAAAAAAATTTCTCAGTAATATTTCTGTACATATAAGCAATACTTGTACCAAATCTTATATGGATATCTTAATTAAGTAATGAGTTATGCGCGTTTAAGTGATTTTCGGGAGGGGACCTTGTATGGGAGCTATGACCAATTATGGACCGATCGGAAAAAAATTTATCGGTAATAGTTCTGTATAGATAAGCAATACTTGTACCAAATTTTATATGGATATCCTAATTAAGTAATGCGTTATGCGCGTTTAAGTGATTTTCGGGAGGGGACCTTGTATGGGAGCTATGACCAATTATGGACCGATCGGAAAAAAATTTATCGGTAATAGTTCTGTATAGATAAGCAATACTTGTACCAAATTTTATATGGATATCTTAATTATGTAATGCGTTATGCGCGTTTAAGTGATTTTCGGGAGGGGACCTTGTATGGGAGCTATGTCCAATTATGGACCGATCCAGAAAATTTTTTCTCTGAATAAATTCTATTGACATGAGATTTTAACTTGTAAAATTTCGTGAAGATATTGACATTGTGGCGGAAGTTATTAACAAAAAACCCATTTTCCGGGAATATGTACTTTTGTATGGGAGGTATATGAAATTGTGGACCGATTCTGGCAATTTTCAGCAGAGATCAAGTTCTTGCGTAAAAACTTATTCATGGTGATTTTCATGAATTTATCTTGCATAGTTTTCGAGAAAATTGCATCCGAATGTGTAAAAAATGCTTATTTTTTTCGAGGTTGTTTTAAATTTTGATTCATAACTTTTCCCGGTATGAACCGATTTTGCTCATTTTCAATACCAAACTGCTTAGGACAACAATGAATATTTTCGGTGAATTTGGCGTACTTCCTTTGCTTAGTTTTAACGTGAGCGTGTTTTAGGCAGACAGACGGACAGACGGACAGACGGACAGACGGACAGACAGACGGACATAGCTAAATCGACTCAGAATTTGATAAGGACCCAGAATATATATACTTTGTTGGGTCTCAGATGAATATTTCTTGGTGTTACACACGGAATGACAAAGTTATATATACCCTCTATCACCACTGATGGTGGTGGAGGGTATAATTAAGATTTCCATATAAAATTTGGTACAAGTTACTTATATGTACAGAAATATTACTTTGAAATTGTTTTCATATCCGTCCATAATTGATCATAGCTCCCATACAAGGTTCCTTTCAGAAAAACTTAAAGGCACATAAGTCTTTACCTAATAGTGAAAATATTTGGCATAAATACTATTTTTGTACACATAAATGTTATTTCAAAATTTTATCACGTACGGTCCATCGTGGGTCATAGCTCCCATACAAGGTTTCCTTCCGAAAATCATTTAAACGCACATATCTCATTACCAAATATTGATATCCATACATTTAGCACAAATATTGCTCTTATATACATAAATTACACTATAAAATTGTTTTACGATCGGTCCATACTTGGTCATAGCTCTCATACTAGGTCCCCTCCAGAAAATTACTTAAATGTACAATATTCATTACTAAATAATGATATAGATACAGAATTTTCCCATACAAGGTCCTTTTAAGAAAATCTCTTAAACGCACATTACTCATTACAAAATAAAGCTATTGATACAAAATTTGGCAGAAATATGTATTCGTTTTGTATACAAAAATTCTATTTCAAGATTTTTTCACGATCGGTTCATAACATGGGTGTGGTCGGTCCCATACAAGGTTCCCTTCAAAAAATCACTTAAACACACATTACTTATTACTAAATTACCATATAGATACAAATTTTGACTGAAATATAGCTTTAATGTACAGAAATTTTGCTTAAAGAATTTTTTACGATCGGTCTATAATTGGTCATATCTCCCATACTAGGTCCTGCCCCTAAAAGCACTTTAACCGTAGTTAACTAGTTGCATCATAAATTTGTGTACATATGTATTTTGAAAATCCTTACATCTTTCACACACATACAAATTACTAAATATCGCTAAAGCATATCTAAGGCCCTATAAAAATATAAAAGAAAATAGTGTTAGTAATGTTCAATAAATCTTGGAATTGTAATAGATTTAAGCTATTTAAATCTTGGGATTTTCCTATTTAAGACATGAGAAAACTTATTTCTACAAGCTGGTGGAGGGTATTTAAGATTCGGCTCAGCCGAATATAGCACTCTAACTTGTTTATATATTAGTTTACAAAATACTCAATCCTGTAGTATATAAATATAAGCACTAGTCCATAGACCATTTATTACTCAAACACAATCTTCATGTAGAAGCTGAAAATTAATTGACTTGGACTTTTTTAGGGAACAATATAGACCATATACATATGTATATGTATAATATATGTACATTTTATCTTACCTATATGTATAAATATTATATTACTTAATTGTAATACTATAACTTTTGAAGTATATTTATTGGAATCACTTTAACTGTACGAAAAGCATCAAATTATAAAATTTATGAAACAAAATATTAACGCTCAATTAATGTGAACATATACCCTTGAGTTATTATGAAATTTAATTGGTTTTAATTTAAAATAATAAGTACTGATATAAATTTAATGATATGGAAAATCATTGATGCTAAATATTTATTGAAATAAATCATAAATTTGTAATAAAGTAAAGGCAACTGTAAATAAAAGGTTATTAAATTTTGATATATTAAATATGTTATTTATAAAAAACAGTGGTAGAGAGAGAAATTAGTCCACATGAAACTGACTTCAGCAACTTTTCAAAAATTTAGTAATAATTTTTTTCAAAATATCTGCTTTAAAATTTGCTTCATGTTGTTGTTAAAATATTTACCTTTAAAACTACATAATGTTAATTGTAGGGGTACACAGTTAAACTGACAAAGACTATTATTATTTACAGATACTTATTTTCATATTTAATAACAAATTAATAACAGCACAAGTACTGAAAATAATGTTTAAATAAATATATTTTATTTTTATTTACAAATACTCCAAAGTTATAATTGTACACTATTTTATGTTATACAAATAAATTTAAAGTAATATAAAATATTTGTTAAATTACCGCCAGTAAAACAAATATTTTCCACTTTGTTTAACACCCCTTTAGAAATTATAGATGACATACATTCACTTATTTGCCTTTGTATATTATTTTTTAATATCCCCTAAAATTATGCAACTATTTTCTACAAGTTTTCTCTCCTTCATAAACTACATATATACAGAATATATACTTTTAAGTTTTCCTTTAAAACTTGTCAACTAAATTAAATTATTTTCATAACCCAGTTTATCACTTCCATTTTAAAGGATGTTTACTTTATACTAGCTCTTACCACAATTGTGTACAAAATATTTTGTGGCAGGATGAATGCAGACATGTACAGATATACAGAGACTCATATTTACTTAAATAAATAAATTTGTGTGAGAGTGTTAAACATAAGTTCAAAGGAAATATTAATTTAATTCTTAAAGAATTAAATAGAAAATGAAACAATATTTTCAATACAAATTGCTGACTACGACTATATCTCGATTTTGAGTCAGATTTTATTAACCCTGCCAAAACTGCATAGTGACTTGTACTCAACAGCTTATCTTTCAATAACAATAAGGAGTCAATAGCAGCAAGGAGTCAATAGCAACAAGGAGTCTAATAATGACTTTCTTTCAATCTGTTATATTAGTACTTATTTTTAGTATTTTTTGTGTGATCGTGAGTAAACAATTGGTCTTTTCTCCCAAAAAAGTCGTTACCTAAAGCAATAACTAAACAACAATTGACTAACAAACAGGAAGCTCTGGTTCGTATTCTCGCTGGATGTTATCCAAATAATTACACAAATTTGTCAAATATAAACTAAATTTTTAGTTTCTTTTCGGATCTAAAACAATCTGCAATATAACAACATTAAAATATTTTATTCAGTAATCTCCTAGTCGTTGAACCCGTATTCTACCGTAACTATTAGCCCCTATATATTACAAATAATATGGGTAGAATATAAAAATATATAAAATAAAATCACTCACTTACATTTAGTTTTGCATACATATTTATGCGTCAAACTCTCAAAATTTACAACTGACTGGTTGTTGTAATAACAACAACAATAGCAACAAAAGCCGTACTAGTGCTAATAAAACGGAGGCGCTAAAGGCAAGAAAAACAACAACGAAACAAGTTAGAGTGCTATATTCGGCAGTGCCGAATCTTAGATACCCTCCACCACATTTCACATACCTACATACAATAGAAAAATACACACTATTTTATTATTTTGGTCCCTTTTGAGAGGTAATTACCTACTTAAGGTACATATATAGAACCATACCTAAGGTATATTAAAAGTAATAAAAACTATTGCAAATTTAAATAAGACCTACCTGTTAAACGTTAAATGACCTTCGGGCTGTAGCGTCAAATTCAGGTAATTTGTCTATTTAGATTTAGGTAAGATATAATTAGTTTTACCTGTAAAATGTAACTTCTACATTTTCATTGCATTTGTATTTAAGAAAATGCGAAATTATATAACGGATTAGTCGAAAATATAATTTCGAGATAACAACAAGTGATAAATTACTTAAAAGAATTTTGAGCAAACTTTAAATATATACAAAAACAAATAACCCATTTACAATATAAATTGGTAAGTACATATTTATTTCATCGTTTCAAATCATTTATAATCCGCTGTAATATTAAAACTGATTTTTAATTTATATTTAATTATCTCTTTTAGCATTATATTAATAAATATGCCGAAACTACGAAAACAGTCTTCTGAACAACGTAGACAACGTGCACGCGAGGCTGTTAGCAACTATTATGAAAGGAATAGAGAAAGCCACAATCTGAGAACATCTCAAAGGAGAGCTATATTGCGACAAAACGAGGAATATCGTCAAAATGAACGACAAAGGGACCGCATTTTAAGATCATTAAGAAGGTCAGGATCATCCTATAGGAATAGTGGACGGGAACGAGATTCTCAAGAGCATTCTTCCCGACGCATGGATCGAACTTATCATGTATTGGAGCAGCAGAGAAATACTTTAGAGCATTCTATTCACCGGGAAAATGAACAATATCGTGAAATGGAGCGGGTGCGTGATGCAGTTGCACATTCTTCTCGTCGCATGGATCCGACTTATCATATAGTAGAGCAACAGAGAAATACATTGGAACATGCTATGCACCGGGAAAATGAACAGTATCGTGAAATGGAACGTGTACGGGATGCGATTGCACATTCTTCTCGTCGAATGGATCCCACTTATCATACCATAGAGCAACAGAGAAATACATTGGAACATGCTATACACCGGGAAAATGAAGAGTATCGTGAAGTAGAACGTGTACGGGATGCGATTGCACATTCTTCTCGTCGAATGGATCCCACTTATCATACCATAGAGCAACAGAGAAATACATTGGAACATGCTATACACCGGGAAAATGAAGAGTATCGTGAAGTAGAACGTGTACGGGATGCGATTGCACATTCTTCTCGTCGAATGGATCCCACTTTTCATACCATAGAGCAACAGAGAAATACATTGGAACATGCTATACACCGGGAAAATGAAGAGTATCGTGAAGTGGAACGTGTACGGGATGCGATTGCACATTCTTCTCGTCGCATGGATGCAACGTATCGAACCACGGAGCAGCAGAGGAATACAATGGAACATTCTATTCATAGGGAAAATCAAGAGTTTCGAGAAATGGAACGTACACGAGATGCAATTGCACATTCACAACATCGAAAAATACCAGCTTTTCGCCAAAAGGAACGGGAAAGGGACGCCATCGCACATACTTCCAGAAGATCTAATCCCATTTTACGCGCTGCAGAACAGAGACGTAATACTATTACTAGGCGAGAATCAAGGATGTTATCGCAAATTAGTATGGAAGTCTCTAATCAAATGCGAAATGTTCGAGTAAGATTACACCGTATGAATCCTGTAAATCGAACAATTCAGAATGAAAGGCAGGCGCGGAGAAATAGGGAAAGTAGACAACGTCTTTCACCAGAATCAAGAATGGAAATATTATCAGCAGATGTTCATCGTCATACGAGCAGAATGCTAGCAGAATTTAACAATAACGTGAAAAAAGGGCCGACAGAGGTGTGCGTTTGCTGTGGAGGATTGTGGTTCCAGAATCAGGTAAGTTCCCTTAACATTTTAAATTATATTAACCTACGACAGGTATTTTTCTTGTCGGAAATATTTCCGTCTGAAAACAATAACTATAAATTTTGCAACACATGCGTCAAAATAGTGAAGGGGGGAAAAGTTCCCACTATATGCTTAAGCAACGGTTTGCAATTTCCAGAAATTCCCGATCAATTAAAAAACTTAACCGCTTTGGAAGAAAGGTTTGTGGCACCCAGAATCCCATTTATGAGAATCGTTTCATTGGGATATAATCGTCAGTGTGCTGTCAGAGGCGCAGTTGTTAATGTCCCTATTCAAGTCGACAGTATAGTAAATGTCCTTCCGAGAACATTTGATCAAACGGAAGTTATACAGGTTCACCTAAAACGTCGATTGCAGTATAATCATAGCTTTATGACGGAAACAATTCGTCCCGCCAAAGTTTTTGAAGCAATTCGCTATTTAGTAAATACAGAATTGTATCAAAAACACAAAATTTCCATAGCTGAAGAATGGTTACAAAATGTGGGATTATCTGAAGAAGTTCAATTTTTAGCAAATATAGAAGATCGGGAACTAGTGCAAAATTTAACAGGTGCAAATAATGAAATAGATGTAGTTGAAGAATGTAATCCTCAAGAAACACTGCTGGATAATATTCCCATGGAAAATATTCCATTAAGCAGAATTTCTATTGCTCCAGGTGAAGGAAAGCGACCACTAGATATGCTCATGGATGAAGATGCCGAAGAGTTATCATTTCCAACTATATATTGTGGTATTAAAAGAGTGTGTGAAGCTTCAGTGGCCAAAGTTATAAGGTCTGAAATTCGTCGCTATGACAGGAGATGCGCTCGAGTTGATAAGGTACTATATTCTTACAAAAAACTAGAATTATATAAAATTAAGAATAGTATCTCAACATGTTTACGCAAAAAGGTTGGATCCAATCGTCACACAGCCAGGGATATGTTGGACGATAACTACATACATAACCTGGTACAACACGACGAAGGATACCATATACTTAAAGGTATTAGGTCTTCTCCAGCTCATTGGGAAGGAGAGAAAAGGAAAGTAATGGCAATGATTCGACAATTTGGACTTCCAACCTTTTTTATAACACTTTCCGCAGCAGAATCTCATTGGCCTGAGTTATTAGTAATTTTGGCAAAAGTAGTCGAAGGCAAAGACATTACCGAAGAAGAGGCTATGCTTTATACCACTCAACAAAAATACAACCTTATCCGCACAGATCCCATAACATGTTCTCGTTATTTTGATCAAAGAATTCGCCATCTTTTTAAACACTTCAAAGCTAACGGTGGAGTTTTTGGGGACCATAAAGTTATTAAATTTTATTGGAGGATTGAGTTTCAGCAAAGAGGATCACCACACGTTCATGGGATATATTGGCTTCAAAACGCACCATCGGTTAATTTGGCAGATGAAAATACTTTTCCATCCGTTGTAAGCTTTATTGATAAATATATTTCAACAGATTCGAATATACCTGAAGTTTCACCTTACATTCAATTCCAGGAGCATCACCATAGCAGAAGTTGTCAAAGAGAGATAAGAGGTCAATCAGTTTGCAGATTTAATATACCATATCCACCTATGTCTGAAACGAAGATACTTTTACCACTTCCTGAAAACATAGATGAAATGGAATTGAAAACACATAAAGACAATTTTAATAAAATTAAAATTCTTCTTAATGCCAAATTATCAGAGGCGGAGGTAAATGATCTACAAACATTTGAACAATTTTTAAATGACAACAGAATAAATTTAAATGTTGAAGATTATATTTTAGCTATCAGATCATCACTAAAAAAACCCCAAATATTTCTAAAGAGATCTTTCAAAGATCGCTCAATTAATGCCTTCAATCCTAATATTTTAGCAATGCAAAGAGCTAATATAGATATACAATTTATATTGGATGCCTATGCGTGTGTATCTTATATTGTTAATTACATTAATAAGTCGCACAGAGGAGTTTCGAGATTATTAAATGAGGCAATGGATGAAATAAGGTCTGGGAATTTTACGGTTAAGCAGCGACTTCAACATATTGGCAACAAATTTATTTCTGCTTCAGAAGTTTCCGGCCAAGAAGCATCGTACAATATTTTGGGAATGCATCTTTCACAATGTAGTAGTTCCGAAGTGTATATTAATACATTACATCCGGACAAACGTGTTAGAATATTAAAGTCTAGGAGAGAATTGGAAAATATTCCTGGAGAATCCACAGACGTTTTTCAAAAAAATCTCTTTGACCATTATATTGCACGTCCCAACGAAATGGAAGATTATTGTCTTGCTCATTTCGCGGCTTATTATAAGTTTTCAAAATCAAGGCCATCAAGAAATCGACGCCATCAAGAAGAAGAAGAAGATGACTACAATGAAAATAATGATTTCAATGATGATAATACTGATGGAAATGAAAATTACATTAAGCTTAGAGATGGGTCTGGTTATATCTATAAAAAAGAAAGCCCCGCAATAATACGATTTCCCTCATTTAATGCTGATCAAAGCAGGGAAAATTATTTTCGTGCATTGGTAATGTTATATATGCCTTGGAGAAATGAAAAGGAGGATATTTTGGATAAAGATAACGAAGAAACTTGCAGAGTTCTTAAGGATGTTATCGAAAGAAATCGCTCAGTTTTTGAAAAATATAAAGAAGGAGAGCTCGAAGAAATTCTTCAACAAATTCATAATGAAAACATAGTAGATGATGATAACCTGGAAGAGAATAGAGCTGTAACCCAACTGCTAGATGACGAATTTAGAGCCCTAGCTGTTCCTGAATTAGATGCAAATATAAATGTTATTGACATTAATGATGATTATATTAACGCTGATGAGAGCAATGATATCGTTCGACTAATAAGACTCCAACCTTTAATAAGTACTGATAGTCTATTGTCTTCTGTAAGGACATTAAACACAAAGCAACGTAAATATCTACATCATGTATTACTAAATGTTGTACAGAACGTAAAGTTTTGTGAGTATGTCGGAGGTGGAGCTGGTGTTGGAAAGAGTAGATTGATAAAAACTATTTACCAATCAATTTCTAATAGATTTAACTCTATTCCCGGCTCTAATCCTGATTTACCCAAAGTAATACTAAGTGCTCCTACTGGGAAAGCTGCTTTTGGAATTGGTGGAACGACTCTTCATTCGTTATTTTCGTTGCCAGTTAACCAGTACTCAGGAGAAATCCGTCCACTTAGTAATGATAAAGTTAATTCGCTCTCATCATTACTTTTGGATTTGAAATTATTGATTATTGATGAAATTTCAATGGTTGGAGCAAGAATGTTGGGATATATTGATGCTCGACTAAAGCAAATTTTCAAAAGTACATTGCGATTTGGTGGAATTTCCATTTTAGTTTTTGGAGATTTAAAACAACTACCACCTGTTGGGGACAAATGGATATTCAGCTCGAACTCATCAAATCCTTATGGAGTTATTGTTGGAGATCTACTTTGGAACCAATTTAAATTTTATGAACTCACTGAAATTATGAGGCAAAGGGAAGATCGAAAATTTGCCGAAGCTTTGAATTCAATGTCAAGGGGTGAAATGAGTGACGAAGAAGTGCGCCTAATAAAATCAAGAATTGTAGATTCTAATTTTGTATTTCCCAGTGAAGCTATTCACTTATTTTGGTCAAATTTGGAGGCTGATCAATTCAACGAATTAAAATTAGGCCAAATTTTAAAAGAGGAATATGAATCAAGAGCTTTTGATTTAATTAAAACGGAATCTTTGTCGTCGGAGGAAAAAGCTCGTATTAGAAACGTGGTTATTAAAATGAAAACATCGGAAACACAAGGATTGTGTACAGAGCTAAAATTAAAATGTTCCGCTAAATACATGATGACCATTAATATTAATACAAGCGATGGTCTTGTTAACGGAGCTACCGGCATTTTAATGGAAATAGAGTTCCATAAAGAAACACACAAACCTATTACACTTTGGATGCTATTCCCCGATGAAAATGTAGGTATGGAAGCAAGAAGGACAAAACCACATCCAACTGAATCACTTTGGACACCTATTGAAAAATGTGTTCGTAGTTTCCAATTCAGGCGCAATGAACAAATTTCAATTGAGCGAAAGCAATTTCCATTGGTTTTAGCGGAAGGAATTACTATCCATAAAAGCCAAGGTGCAACATATTCAAAAGTGGTTGTTCATACTCGTAACCGAATGAGCAGGGCTGCATTATATGTAGCGTGTAGTAGAGCTACCAGTATTTCTGGATTGTATATTGTAGGGAATTTTATTCCTCCAAAACCATTTGAAACGACAGATCCAGTAAAAATTGAGTTAGAGCGACTACAATTAGAACGAGCACTTACTCTTCAGCATAACTTTGTAAATGATGATGAATATAATCTAAAATTATTTTATCAAAATATTCAAAGCTTTAATGCACACCATAAGGATATATCTTCTGATCCCACAATAATGGAAGCAGATATTTTATGTTTAGTAGAAACTTGGACATTTCCGGAAGAAATTCAATCATTGGAAGGATATTCATTGCTAAGCAAATTAGACTGTTTTAATGCTGAACATGAAGAGAGGTCCCGAAATAAGAAAGGGATATCAGTTTATGTAAAAACTGATAAAATATCTAACGTAAACTTATTATTTAAAGAGGATCATGTTCTTGGATACTCATTTCAATACATAGCCTTCCGGTATCACAACAATTACATAATTAATTTATATAGGAGCCCCTCGTTTGCTGAAGGCCTCTTTAGATTATTCTTGAAGCGAGCTATCGATCAATTGCAGACACATATTACAACAGAAATTGACAAAATCCTTATTGTAGGAGATTTTAATAAGTGTCGCAAAACGGATCCAAATAGTATTACTGAGAGAACATTGACACAAAGAGGACTCGTATCGCACCTAAAACCGACAACTGCAACCACAAAACATGGAACACAGATTGATTGGGTTTTTTCAAATATACCATTGAACCATGTAAATGTAAAAATGTATCCAACAATTTATAGTCATCATGACGGTATATTAATTGCCATATAGTGGTATATATTCCAAAAATTAATTTAATATTAAAATAACAATATGAGTAGTTATGCTCATTATAATTGGACTTAGTTTATAATAATATAAATACTAACTTTTTCCTCATCAGACTTTGAATATGTGAAATATCATATTTACCCTCCCATAGAATAAGCCGTGACGTGGCGGGAGGGCTTTAGTACTTCTTAGTTTTTATTTTTAATTAAAATTTTGAAGGAAACTAATTATTCCGCGAAATACATCGTAATGAGTTATGTGGTTTTAAGTGATTTTCGGGAGGGGACCTTGTATGGGACCCACGACCAGTTATGGACCGATCGGAAAAAAAATTTTCAGTAATATTTCTCAGTCATACAACAGTACTTGTACCAAATTTTATATAGATATCTTACTTTAGAAATGAGTTATGCGCGTTTAAGTGATTTTCGGGAGGGGACCTTGTATGGGAGCTATGACCAATTATGGACCGATCCAAGAAAACTTTCATAGTAATATTTCTGTATATAAGAGCAATACTTGTACCAAATTTTATATGGATGTGTTCATTTACTAATGAGTTATGTGGTTTTAAGTGATTTTCGGGAGGGGACCTTGTATAGGAGCTATGACCAATTATGGACCCATCGGAAAAAAATTTCACAGTAATATTTTTGTGCATACGGGCAATACTTCTACCAAATTTTATATGGATATCTTTATTTTGTAATGAGTTATGTGCGTTTAAGTGAATTTCGGGAGGGGACCTTGTATGGGAGCTATGACCAATTATGGACCGATCGGAAAAAAATTTCTCAGTAATATTTCTGTACAGATAAGCAATACTTGTACCAAATTTTATATGGATATCTTAATTAAGTAATGAGTTATACGCGTTTAAGTGATTTTCGGGAGGGGACCTTGTATGGGAGCTATGACCAATTATGGACCGATCGGAAAAAAATTTCTCAGTAATATTTCTGTATAGATAGGCAATACTTGTACCAAATCTTATATGGATATCTTAATTAAGTAATGAGTTATACGCGTTTAAGTGATTTTCGGGAGGGGACCTTGTATGGGAGCTATGACCAATTATGGACCGATCGGAAAAAAATTTCTCAGTAATATTTCTGTAAAGATAAGCAATACTTGTACCGAATTTTATATGGATATCTTAATTAAGTAATGCGTTATGCGCGTTTAAGTGATTTTCGGGAGGGGACCTTGTATGGGAGCTATGTCCAATTATGGACCGATCCAGAAAATTGTTTCTCTGAATGAATTCTATTGACATAAGATTTTAATTTGTGAAATTTTGTGAAAATATCGACATTGTGACGGAAGTTATTAACAAAAAACCCATTTTCCGGGAATATGTACTTTTGTATGGGAGGTATATGAAATTGTGGACCAATTCTAGCAATTTTCAGCAGGGATCAAGTTCTCGTATAGAAACTTATGTATGGTGATTTTCATGAATTTATCTTGCATAGTTTTCGAGAAAATTGCATCCGAATGTGTAAAAAATGCTTATTTTTTTCGAGGTTGTTTTAAATTTTGATTCATAACTTTTCCCGGTATGAACCGATTTTGCTCATTTTCAATACCAAACTGCTTAGGACAACAATGAATATTTTCGGTGAATTTGGTGTACTTCCTTTGCTTAGTTTTAACGTGAGCGTGTTTTAGGCAGACAGACGGACAGACGGACAGACGGACAGACAGACGGACATAGCTAAATCGACTCAGAATTTGATAAGGACCCAGAATATATATACTTTGTTGGGTCTCAGATGAATATTTCTTGGTGTTACACACGGAATGACAAAGTTATATATACCCTCTATCACCACTGATGGTGGTGGAGGGTATAAAAAATGAAATTTTATGAAAGAGGATTTATGTTAAAATAGCAAAGCCCTGCCATAAAACAACTACAAAATAACAACAAAAAGAAAAACAGCAATAACAAAAACTGTATCAACAACCTAAATAAAATTTTAACAAAAACAACTAAAAATTTACTTTGCTTTACATGGTTATTTCTGCAAAAATCGTTGTAGTAAAAATAACCAACTAAATAAACAGCCACCATATGCGTCCGGAGAATTAAAGTCATTATATTTATACCCTACACCACTTTAGTGGGGAGGGTATATTGGGTTTGTGCTGATGTCTGTAACACACAATAATATTGGTCCTATACCAATCCGTCTGTCCATCCATGTAAACCTTGTAATCAAACTACAGGTCGCAATTTTGAAGATAATTTTGTACATGATCTTCTATTGTCCCAGAAACAAGGCCTATTGAAAATGGTTAACATCGGTCAATTATTTCACCTAGCCCCCATACAACTGAACCCCTGAATAGGGCTTGTAAACGATGTAATCAAACTACAGGTTGCAATTTTGATGATAATTCAATGAAATATGGCATATGATCTTCTATAGTACCGGAGACAAAGCCTATTGAAAATGGTTAACATCGGTCAATTATTTCACTTAGCCCCCATACAACTGAACCCCTGAATAGGGCTTGTAAACTTTGTAATTAAACTACAGGTCGCAATTTTGACGATAATTCAATGAAATTTCGCACATGATCTTCTATGGCACCGGAGACAAAGTCTATTGAAAATGGTTAACATCGGTCCATTATTTCACCTAGCCCCCATACAACTGAACCCCTGAATAGGGCTTGTAAACGATGTAATCAAACTACAGGTCGCAATTTTGATGATAATTCAATGAAATATGGCATATGATCTTCTATAGTACCGGAGACAAAGCCTATTGAAAATGGTTAACATCGGTCAATTATTTCACCTAGCCCCCATACAACTGAACCCCTGAATAGGGCTTGTAAACGATGTAATCAAACTACAGGTTGCAATTTTGATGATAATTCAATGAAATGCATATGATCTTCTATAGTACCGGAGACAAAGCCTATTGAAAATGGTTAACATCGGTCAATTATTTCACTTAGCCCCCATACAACTGAACCCCTGAATAGGGCTTGTAAACCTTGTAATTAAACTACAGGTCGCAATTTTGATGATAATTCAATGAAATTTCGCACATGATCTTCTATGGCACCGGAGACAAAGTCTATTGAAAATGGTTAATATCGGTCCATTATTTCACCTAGCCCCCATACTACTGAACCCCTGAATAGGGCTTGTAAACGATGTAATCAAACTACAGGTCGCAATTTTGATGATAATTCAATGAAATATGGCATATGATCTGCTATAGTACCGGAGACAAAGCCTATTGAAAATGGTTAACATCGGTCCATTATTTCACCTAGCCCCCAACCCGACGAATAGGGCTTTTAAATTCATAATTATGTTTAATATACTCGTATTTCAACAAAAAGCTGCAAAACCAAGTGCTATACTAGCCTTGATGACTCTATTTATAATTATAGGGTCTCCATTGACCATAGCACCTATACAAAGCCCTCTTCAAAATTTGACTTAAATATCCACAATTTTATTCAACAATAAATGGCTTAAGTATATCTGAGGCAAGGTACAATTCAACTACAATGCTTTATCAATTCAATTTTAATCAAATTTAATTTTTGTAACAGGTGTAGGGTATTATATTAAATGTCGGCCTCGCCCGACTATAATTTCTTACTTGTTTTTCTTTGCTCTTATTTTCTTCCTATCGCTTCATATTCTAACATTTTTGTTTTTACTTTTTTGTATACTTAACATGCATAGATAAAACATGAAAATAAGAACACATTGCACAATGATTTGTATTGGTTATAGAATTGCGCTAAAATTTACTTTTACAAACATTAAAAATAATGATTAAACTAAACATGGAAGAATAAGGCTTTACAATAAATGTGTAAAAAAGATTTTTGTTCGAATTGAAAACATTACGATAAATCCTGAAATCAAATTATTAAATTTTTATGGCTTAGTTTTGTAGTATTCATTTAAGCCATGTAGTCGTATAAGTAATATAATACTTATTATGCAACTCAATTACACTCAATTTTTTAAGTCATGGAAATATAACCACATAAGGACACCACTACGTGATAAAAGTCAGGCACTTTTTATTTCAAAAGGTGATAATTTTCTCAGGCTCATATCCTGGTAAACTGTTCGTGTCATAAAGGACAAAAATTGTGAACATATAATAT